GCTCAAAGTGCGTCCTTCTGTTACTATTTTTTTTCGTACGCATCAAATTCAAGGCAAATTTTATTGGAGATTAAGTCACCGATACTCGTCTCTGTTGGTTATTTCATCAGAAAGAACTATCTTATTGTTTATAATTAACGTGCGCGGGTTTGCTCCTCAATTCAAAAGAGTCCGTGCATGCCGCTCCCCCAGTCCGGCCGTGGAAGTGGCTACCCACTACTACTACTACTACTACATCGCGGACGCACGACCCACGGCTTAAGCAGCTTCACTCCCTAAAAAAGAACAAAAGCAAGAGCACTTGGGATACACGCATCAAACGCTTGGAGAACAAGAGGAGGAATACTTCACTTAGGAGATCGCGCCTGCTCAATATGCTAAAGCTGGCTATGGTATGTGGGATTTCGCCAGCGTTTCAGCGAGCGACGACGAGAGCATGCTCCGGTGTTTTCCACAGTAAAATCGCTGCTACCGGGCAAGGAGAGATAGATGGTGATGAAGGAGGTAGTTGTTTTGGGGCAGGTTTCTTTGATGAAGCACTAGCGACGCCAATCCTGAAGCCAGGCATGTGGGGAAGTACAACGCCGACAACGCGAGGTGTTTTGCCCTTTAAAACTTTTCTGCGTCTCCATACGACACCTAGTGTGAAGCAAAAGCGTTTTTAATGCGACCTGTTGAGGGGGAACGTAAAGAATGTCTCGTGGCATGCATCAGCGCACGAAGGAAAACGCACAGAGGAAAGAAGACTACAGTTGAGATGTTTCTTTCTTTTAATATTTTCGTCTCGTATCTCTGTCACTTATATGTACAAAAGAACAAAGGGAAACACTCGAAACAAATTGAGGTAAGGAAATGATAAGTGACATATTTCTTTGTCGCTCTTCGTGGTCTTCACCATCCCGAAAAGTGATTCAGGCATGCGCACAAGCAGTCACTCAAAAACACGCGCACTGCAGTGGAGGTCACACTTTACCGAAATACTCACTCGCATTAGAAGAAACACAAAGTGAACACAGCCGCCTGTCCTTCAAGAGTTCAATAAAATTACACAACGCTTGCGACAGATGGCACTCTAACTTGGGAGGTCAACAAAGATGCGCGTAAAAGGATGAGCAGTCGCGTTGGCGCCGTGTCAATAAAACAGCTCGCGGGTCGCGTTCCGAGATGCCTTCCTGCCGTATACTGTAAAATGCGCTACACGATTTCTTCAAGCTACCGCCTTCATCATACAGGCGCGCGGCGTCTTGACTGGCCACCAACATATGTTTTTTTTAAGGGAACGTGCAAATTCTGGATTATCGGCAACAGTCAGCCTTACTGTCACGAGAGAAGTTGACAGATGCCAGCAGAGCTTTGTTAATGACAGACACTGAGTGTCACGCCTGGTATTTTGCCTGCCAAGCAAACTCTGAGTGCTTCTGATTGTGTCATGCAAGCTTGACGGCCAACGAAATCGTTCCCACACTTAAAAAGCGACGCATGACGAGCTATAGGGGGGGGGGGGGAGAATCTATGGTGATTGCGAAGCTCCGAAGTGTGATGACGATGGCACGATAAGTTATCGCATACCCTTGGCATATCTTTAGGCCACCAGAACTCACCTACTTTTACTTGCCCACCCATCACAGTAATGCATGTAGCATTCCCTTTCCACTACTTACGGAAGCTGTTCAGAACAGTTTTGATAACTTCTGGGGTTTGGACTTACGATACACGCCGTAGGCTGCCAACCACATGGAGCCTTCATCAAAATTGCAGCCGGCACCAAAGCCCGGACTTTCAGGTGAACAGCCGAGCATCGTGACGACTTGACCAGCGCGGCGGATGGTCAGAGCAGCTCTTATCACGGCGTCTCGCGCAGATAGCAACGTCAGATTGCATCTCAGAATGCGACCCGCTTAAAAGAGACGTTTGCGGAGCCACCGCGCCAACTGCGACGTCGTTGTAGGCCGCAATGCACAAGTGGCTCGCCAAGAACACAGAACAGAATTGGTAGTGGCGGAGCAATAAAGAACAACAAATGTTTGCCCTACACTAATTCAAAATCGTTGGCCGGTTCGTGCAGCTTCGTCTCAATAAATGAATGTACCAGCCTTGCCTCGCGTGCATTTCCCACATGGGGCTTGGAGCAGGCAACATTTGCGGAAATATGTGCAGCCGCTCTTCGAGGAACAGTGCCGCACTGAACGGAGGCTCTAAGGGAGTCATGTTAGGAAAACGCGTGGCTTCACATTACACCTCCTGGTAGTTTCACGTCAAACCAGAAGCACAAAGACACGTCGCAAGCGGGACACTTGAAAAAAGTCTAACATCGCAGGCAGCATCTCTAGCACTGCGAAAGAACGCGGATCGAGACAAAAACTCACTCATTGTTTCATTGGTAAAGATGAATCCATCCACAGGGCGGAGCGAAGAAGCAATGGTCACACGTCAAAAGAGTCCCCGAAGAGATTAAAGTCTTACGCTCACACTAATAGAGAGAAAAGCCGCAGAGTGAAGAAAATTCAATATGCTTGAGGCATCGTCGTGACATGTCTCCGCGAGCTTGGCGGAAGAATAGTGCGAACCTCTGCCAATGTTTGGTTCGCAGCTGCGTACGCGAAGGCAGCATCTAAATTTTCGCTGCGGCACGCGTCACCCCAGCCACACCGAGATAAGTGACGCAGCTAAACCCACAACTGACAAAGCGGCGTCCACACAGGGGAAAAAAAGAATCAACTGATGACTAGAGCCTTTGTGCCGCCGTGACATATTTCGCAGTCGGCGCGATCACGACGTGTGGACGCCAAGAAAGTAAATGCGGCTTCCGTTTCGTTAAGCGAAAACAAAATTTCGGAAGCAGGCAGAGTTGGTTCCACCTTGCGGCAATTTTTTTTTGTTCTGGTTGTAAGTAAAACCAAGCAGCAAGCTTTCTTCTTGTGCCGTACGTTTCCCAAGAGGACTGTTAACATTTTCGCGAAAAATTAAGGTTAAGCGTGCTCGATTTAAAAGAACGTAATAATCGATATTGCTTCGTGAAAAAATTGATTTCGGGGAAAGGTTTTGTGCAGACATTGCTCCAGCTCACACTGCAGAGCATTTTTTCTAAAAGAAGAATAAAAAGAGTTCACCAATGGTGTAATAGGATACAAAAACGCTCCTCCGACAGCCGATAACGGTCTCTCAGCGACAAATTTGAGGAGAGTTGGAAAGGCAACACATATATATCTAAAACTCTGCACCCCTCAGGTGATGTAAAATTGCAGCAATCAAGTAAATTTCTAGAAGAATGCATATACCATTGTACAAGTTCTGTTCAGCAGCAACAAATTCCATTAGAGAACAAGCAGGGGAAGAAAAAAAGAACAGTTGTTTCACCGCGAGAAATATCTAGACAAACTCTTCTCATTCACGCGGTTCGACGAAATCGTTAGCAAGCGCTTATAAACTGTAACCAGTGTAGTCGTCTCTATCGTCACAGCAGACTTACCGGCAATGGCACGCACTGAGATCACACGAACATGTCACGTGAGACCGTCCAACGTCGTCGTTATACTGAATAAATATACAGACTATTGTTTTGAAATTCGCGTACTGCAGGTAAAGGGGAAAAATTCGTAACTGCGCCATGGCTTTGCTCGTGTAGCGAGAAAAAAAAATAGCACGCCTATTTTCGCAAACAATACTGGCGACCAAGTAAGTTTCTGCACTTGAAACACAACAATACGCAAGGACAAGACACACGGGAATTTAAATTAGCACAGACTGAACCGCATACATCCATGACGCAACTGATTCTAAGCTGATATCGCGAGTGGTGACGAGGTTTCTGGTCACTCACATTCATTCACGCTTGAGCACTACAAGACTGCAAGGGTTTCCTCGGGGCCTCTGCTTTGCTTTCAATTTTTTCAGACTCGCGAGCTTCTTTACAACACGGAGATAATACTTGTTCCGTAGCCTAAAAACAACGCGTTGTCATTGTATTTGTGCAGCGAGAGAAATGCATGAACGGACAAGATATGGCAAGAGAACGAAAAAGTGCACGACGCTAACTATCGATAAAAATTACTGACGAGAGGAAAAACAGAAATGCAGCGGTAAAGAAATTCGAAACGCGGCAACTGCCGTTCACGCCATAGTTCCGAGTTCGCTTTACTTCGTCGGGAGGCACAGCTGCGTTCGAAGGAGATGTAGGTGAAGCTGTTCAATTAGAAGGCCCACAAAGCTGAGCTGGTTGAAAATTGTCGCAAAATGAGGCAAGGCATGCAAATACGGACGCCAGAGAACAAGACACAAAAACGCCAGCTATCCACTGAAACGGCGCAGCGCAGCAGTAAAGGAAGTGAGACAAAAACTTATCTGCGAAGGCACGGCAGCAGCGCCTGTCAGTACAGCACACAGTGGGTTTCGGGCAGCGCCTCCTCTGTTTTATTAATTCCGGCCAGATGCGCCCGATCCAGCTCTTATCGCCTCTCTTCTAGCCCTTTCCCGCTCCCTCCCACCACCCAGCCTTCGCCTGTGCTTCGTGCTCATGGGAAAGAGAGCCCTTTTCGCAGTGCCTCACGGCGGGAATAAAATGAAGTAATTTTTTCTTCGTTTGTTAAGAGATCCGTGAGGCGGTATCTTGCATTCCTCGTTATCACAATGTTGGCAGGTCACGCTGGCTCTGTAAGTGATACGGTCTCATGTCGCCTGTTTGTGGCGATACGCGGGCAACCAATGAGAACGCGTCGCGGTGACGCCGCTGCATAACTAGCGCTGCGAAGTGGCGGCGACATTGCTTCCAGCCACAAAGAAGGAGCATGACGGAACAAATCTGACAGGCGTACGACATTGGAGAGGGACACGCGTCTATCGCGATTCCGTGGAAAAGCACTCGGACGAACGTGTGATGCAAGCAGCCCTACCCCTCCAGTGGCGTCACATCACGACCATTCTCTGAACTAAGGCGGACTGCCGGGCTCCCGTTGAAGAGCGCGCGTTTGCACTGGCATTGGATGAAATAAAGGAGGCGTTGGTTCGGGCATTTCGTTTCTTTTTTATGCGAGTTGATTCAATCGATAACTTGTCATGCCATTTCACTAGCGCGTATGTTACTATTTCGGGCAACATCGCAAACAGCATCTATGCCAGCTTAAAATAAAGCGTCGAACACGGAATGCGATTCAACGCATTGCATGACGAAATCTCGCGTAGACCACAGACGGTTAAACAAAGCAAACAGAAACTGCAGTTTTTTTTAAGCTTCTTTCACGTTATCAAAAACTATCAAAAACTGAACGCACCTTACATTAGGCGCGTAAGAAAGCGGCTAGTTCAGGGCAGACGAGCATACCGGCTTGACACAGGCATTCCTCTAAGGCGCCATCTTGTTCTGAGAGCAATGTAATCTGCACCATAATTATCACCGACGATGTCTTCGCAAAGCTGCCCGTTTCGCCGGCTACGTCAAAACTAAAACGATCCTCAAAAAAAAAAAAAAAAAAAAACAAAGACCGGCCTAGCCAACGCCATTTGTGGTGTCTTTTGACTCCGTGTTGGCACGACTAGTCTTTCACATAGAATTAACAATTACGAACCAGCTCAGACATCGATTATCCTAAATTGCAGTGAGGCGTAAGATGGCCTATTAGCTATCCATCTTTCAGTATGTAGCTGGTATTGCAGCTGCACTGGCTATCTTGTTCTCTTGAGTCCATTTTTGCACGACTTAGCTTCTAATACAGAGAGAGGCCTTTCCCGTCTCGAAAGCTTTCTTTCCCGATTCGCTGGGTCTAATTTGATTTGAAAAAAGCGCAGGGAGAGAGGAATGAGGGTTGCACACATGCGCGCAAAGGTTGTCAACAGTATCACAAGGGTTGGTTCTCTCCGGCAGAAGCAATTAAGCGTCACGTGCGGGGCTCGTTACGAGTGCGCCATCGTCGGCCGGTTCCTTGGGGTCGTTAACGCACATCTTGCATACTAAACAGGCGTCGCGACCAGAGAGACTGCCGCCTAGCACTCGGGGGGCACACACCAACGCCGCTCAATTCGGAACAGCGCATTTCTCAGCGGCTCGTCGTCGGCCATCTTGATAAGTGAGAGCTGGCCGCTGGGCTCGCTGTCTGACCGCTGGGCATAGCACGTTATTCAAATTATTTGAATACTTTACTAAAAAAAAAAAAGACTGGCCGCGCAGAAGCGCCAGTAAACATTTTCAGACTTGAATGCTGTCCGAATTAAACTACCGGTTCGGGTATTGCCAACGACGCGAGTATGGTGTCTGTGTCTAAGTGCACACTCTTCATTCTACGATGATACGGGCATATGATTTCACGACGAAGATTTTGATCGTTAAAGATGAAAGGGAATGTTACGCTGCTCTGGTAAAGCGCATATTTGCTCTCGCTTGAAAGGAAACTGTATGGCACTTGAGTCGCGGTAAACATTATGGGCCAACATATTCGAAAAATAAGAAGCATGGCTTTTTTTTTAATGTTATGCCAAAAAAGTACACATTTTGTCGCTATATTGTGTCAAAGGAGGCCATGCTTGTGACGAATGAAGTGCCAACCATTTTCAAGGTGCACAGCCGATGGGTACGGTAACATGCCCCTTACCCATAGAGTAACATGGTTTTGTTCGTACTATACAAGAGTGGAATCAATTGTGACCAAGTCTGCCGTTTTAACGAAGACTTTTTCCCAAGCTGTAACCCTCTGCTTACGCGCCTTTGGCCAAAGGAGAGAGAGACGACGCGCTTTTCTCTTCATTTCCCTTTCATTACAACCACTCCGCAGCGTATTTCTGAATAAAGAATAAATAACATACACAAGTAATATGCATGTTACTCTAGGGTGTGGCCCCGATATTCTCATCTTCAGTGTCTGCTTACCGAGCTTTTACGGCAGCGTTGCGCTGCCAGTCAAGAAAGAATGACGCGATCTCTTTCCCCTAAAAAGAGAGAGGGTGAGAAACTATGAGAACGTTGATATGCACCCCCTCGACAGCGAGCATCACTTGCCCCAGAACGAGGACGCGTTAGAAAGACCTCCGACAGCCCTGCTTGCCTAGGGTGCAACACAACTGCATACACGCACACTCATTCACTGCATAGTTTCTGTGAGATATTTAAATAAGCGCAATACGTTACTACTACTAGAGTACGCCGAAGGCGCAAGACTCGCCCACAACCGTGAGACGATGTCCAAACCGACAGGTTGTCCAAGGACAGCACGGCTAAAGGTCACCGCAGTGTTGGGAAGGGGGGTCGGGAAAGAGAATGATGGGGAGCTATTTCTACAAGAAAAAAAAAGTAACATACTTCCCCTAACACGGATGAAGAGAGTGGGTGCGCATATTGCGTAGCCTCCGTGCGGGGGAGTGATTATTGCGATTATCTGCTCTCGGTGGTGCACGCCATCTGCTCGCCGGTTTGACTCGAGCACCGGACACGTGGCCCTCAATGAAGGCAGATAGGGAAGAGTAAAAATCGAAAGACGACTCTCCGAGAAACAGTTCTTGACGACTAGGGGGGTATCGCTTTCGATGCATCGAGGACAAGTGGACTTGTTTTGCGGGACGCCTCATTCGACGACAAATGAGGCGGCGAAACGGCGTTGCCTGCTCGACTGGCAGATACGCTGGCAATTAGGAAAAAGAACACACGGTAAAACATCCTGTGGCTCAGGTTAAAAACAAAACGCCACGTTCGAGTCAGTGTGTCGCCACGCACGACGAGCACACGACACGCACACTTGGACGCGCCCATCACGTGCACAGAGTCCGACTACTTTGGTCGGCCGGGAAAACGGGCCTAATGTCACCGTACGACGGCACCACGGCTGCCTCCTTGGCCACTGTCCGAGCACCTTGTCCTGGCTTTGCGGCTACCCTGGCGCCGCCGCCACCGATGGTGTACGGTCCCGCCGCGACCTCGTCGTCGTCGATGGACGCATAAATGTTCTCCGCGTCTCCTTCGGCCGCGTTGTCCTCCTGGACGGCGCCGCACGGCAAGAAGGTCGAGAAAGGTGCACTGGTCGCCGGCGGGTACTGGCAGTCAGGCCCCATCATGAAACCGGCCTGCGACGCGGCGCCGAAGTTGACTGCGCCGGGAGCCGGTTCGGGGGGCGAACTGTCCTGGTGCGGGTGCTGCATCAAGTCGACCGAGCTGTACGGACCCGGGTTACGTTGATCGAACGCCAGCGCCGATTTGCTCAGGTAGTAGTTGTGCTTGGCCTGCAGTCCAGTCGCATTGTTGCGGTTGCGCTCCAGCGAGTGGCTATGCTTGGCTTTCGGCTTGGTCCGCCGGCCGGACCTCGGCTCGGCGTCCGGCGGGCACAGGTCGCCGCCCGTGGAGCCCTGCAGGCTGCTGCTGGCCGACTCGGCCGGCCTCGGGTACTCGCCCAGGCTGAGTTCATCCTCAGCGAACTCGTCCTCGCTGCCCAGGCTCCTCGCTTCGTCCTCTTCGCTGTCCTCGCTGTCGTGGTGGCGGTAGCCCCTCCTAGACTTGGAGCGGCCCGACACCTCCTCGTAGATCGGGTTGAACTGCTCGCTGTTGGCCCCGCGGTGGGAGCGGCGCGACGACGCCGTGCGGCTGCTGGAAGACTTGTGCGACGGACGCTGCGACGTGCCTGGCGCAGACCGGCGGCCAGCCGAGCCGGCGTGGTGCAAGGTGGCGGGCTGCGGGGTGCGCTGCTGTGCGGGGTGGTCCTGGGGGCGCAGGCTGGCCGGCCGGAACGTGTAGTTGGTCTGCGTCAGCGGGGCGAGGTGTGGGGCGCCGTAACTGCCGTACTTGACGTCCAGCAACTGCGAGCAGAAAAGAGACCGATTTATCTCCGGCAACGCACTGCAGCCTAGGCTGCGTTATTGCGGGTCACACAGAAAACCTGAGGCGAGACTTAGCAAGTCTCCAAACAATCGTACGACTGCGGAGAAAACGCTTCGCAGTGCTCCAGAGGCGTCTTCTTTGCCCGTACTGTTACGGTCTTTACTGCACTCTTCCACAATAAATATAGCTGATAAAATGCCCCTTCTGGTAATGATTACCGATAATTTTTTTCAAAAAGAGGATCCGAACCATTTGCAAGCATAACACGTTCGAAAAAAAGATAGACATAAAACTCGCCAACGCAAACTGTGACTTAAAATCGGGAACACTGTTTCAAATTTACAGTCTTTTGATTGTAAAAATACATGCCTTATACTATAAATGGCAATCGGCTACGGCCTTTTCACAGTTTCTTTTATTTTATTTTCCTAAATAAGAAAAATATCTTTCTTGAACGACGATCCAGAAAGCACTGACAAAACCTGGGAAGCACCAATTATATCGTAAACAGGACCACAAAATGGGAGAAGAGAAAGAAAGACAGACACAGGCGCCATTTCGTGTACAGCCGCGGCCACGTCTGTGTAGACCGCGCAGGCAGCTGGTTTTTGCTATGCGTGGCGAAACCTTAGGTCAGTTTCTGACTCTGAAGTGCTGTGTATACCGCGCAGGCAGCTGGTTTTTGCTATGCGTGGCAAAACCTTGGGTAAGTTTCTGACTCTGAAGTGCTGTACCAAGAGCCTGCGAGGCCTAGTTGTCAGGCTGAGCAAGTCAGAGCCCAATACTGCCAACAGGTTTCGCCGGCAAGAGAGCAAAAGACCGGCTGCTCGCGAGCTCTATACAAAGACGTGGCCACGGCTGTAACGTCTCCCTTACGCTCGTATACCGTTTCGTTTCGATATTTCCGACGAATTTAAAGCTACAGCAGCAACTCTCCTAAATGTTAACTAGTTTGAGAAACACGAAATGGAGTAAACAATTATTGATTGCTATACTTACGAAGTCCTTTACGGGCATGACAAGCATCACGCACAGCATTCATTTTATGACTACACACAGGCTAAAAAGAAGAAAACCCGCCAATCAATCAACATCCGTATTTCGCTGTAACCTGCTTCCTGATATTTCTTTCTAGTGAATTGGGCGTGAAATAAGCGTTGTTACCTAATTGATATGTTATGTTGCTGGAGCCATCGTTCCCCGACTTTTCTTCAAGGCTGCAGTTGGCGCGTGTAGGCAGCCTTCCTCCATCAAAGAGAAGGAAAGAGCGGGAGCGCACACGCGGTGCGAATGGTGCGTTGCATCCTGTCATCAAAGCAGCGAAGTGTTGTTCGATGGTTTATGCGTGCGCGCAGACTCAGAAAGCAAACTTTTTGGTGGGAGCACATCTTTCTGCTTTCCTTTCGACTGGACATATGTCCTCCCTGCTTTCTGCGAACAACGTTCAGAGACAGTCATTGGCGTCTATTCTAGCACACCTTGACAAATGCCCCCTGAAACTATTCTTGCATGCAGTCGACAAAGGTCATCGCGGCTGACCAAGGCGCAACTGAGGTTTCCCAACATGAACGGAACTTGGACAAGCGGCTGTGACAGTGATGTTGTGAACCACGCCAGGGTGGTGTACTGTGACTGACTGCATCAGTTGTGCGCTGTCTTTCCTCTCGATCTCCCCCATTTTGTTCCCAAGTGTAGGGTAGCAAACCGACTGTCCTGCACTGCTCCCCGCATTTACTTCTTTTTCTTCTTCGGTGAAAGCGTCAACAAGTTGCAAGGCATCATCGTCTCGAGTCTAGAGAAGGAGGTGGATAGGCGCAACGCTGACGAGCGCAGATTCAGAGCCGCGAAATACGCGGGTGCCATCATCGGTCAGATACATCCGTCGCACTGGATGAAGGAATGCTAGCGGCGTTTAAAATAAGAGATCGCGAATACGACGAGACAAACCTGCCGAGTCCAGAGGGAAAACTGCGGGTCCGACCATCCGTGCAAACCTCGGTGAGCCGACAGTGGCGCTCGCGAGATGGCATTGCCGAGTTCGGCGAAGATAACTTGTGACAAGTGCAGGCATTGCGGTGCTCGCGCGAAAACGACAAAAAGAGAAGGTACATTTGACTCGACGAAGGAGCGGTAAATCTTGTTCGAGACCAAGGAGAAGTGAAAAGCATAAGTGTGCCCAGGTCGTAATAGGTTTTTCGCTCGGAGCCCCCGGGCTCAAACTGGGACCTGGAAGCTTGTTAGCGGCCGAGAGAAAAAAAAAAAAAAGATGAAATCCACGAAGGGCAATAGACGAGAACTTTCGAGAGCTGCGGGGCAGAGTCACCGAGCATTTTATTGGCATGAGCAGGCTGCCACTCGGGAAGGGCCAGGGGAATCAGCGATGATAAGAAATGCGGTGGGGAACGCCTACAGCGCTGTGGACGAAGCGAGCCCAGTTTTGGCAATCGGCTATACTTGCTCGATGCCATGTTTGTGAAGGCTTTAGATGTTCCATTAAAGGCGAAAATGGAACGTCCGCGTAGGGGCCCAAGGCGGCGTCAACGCCTACTTGAGTGAGGCAAAAAAGACATCACGTGATGACGCTACCGCATGACGTCACCAGATACAGTGACTTCAAAGGATGATGCGATAACAAGACGATCCCGGGAGAGAGAGAGAAATTCTGATCTCGGAGGCAATGCGAAACTACGTTAGGTGCAGAAAACTTTCAAAGGAGGGCCAGAACGTCGGCGTTTAAGAAACAAAAAAAACAGTAAGATGGCTCTCATCCTGTGTAAACTGTTTGCGCTCAGTGGAACAAGGGGAAGAACGCAAAGCGTGTGCGCTCGCCTTGCTCGTCTCACTTGAAAGTAAGCAAGGTGTTTGAGAATACCAAACTGGAAAAAACTAGCCCTATTTATTTCGATGTTAAGTAATTTACGAGTTCGGGGCTCTAAGTGCTATCGCGGCGTTGTCTATATACATTGCAAACGGGCTAATAGAATGCAAGAAGTGTGTGTATGCGTGCGTGTGTGTGTGCGGCTGTAGGTGATGTGATTCATTTACTAGTGAATGCATTATCATCCCCCAGCACATCGAGAAGAAGGCTCGCATTTCATTAAAGAGATTTTTTCTTCTGCTGTGCACCTCGCTACCCATATTTCCAATAAATAATTTTACCTATTGAAAGTGTAGGCAATACCCGTGTGCGCAAGAGCACTAATTATCGCTAATTAGTGTGACAGCCATATTTCACTCTGAAAAAACGACAACTCGTAATGTCGCAATGAAATTCCAAGCCGAAAAGAGAAGGAAAAAAAAAGAGCGACGAGCTATAAGCGGCTTTCGTTACGCAACAGCACGCATACGAGAAATCCAAGAGCGGTTCGAGGCAATCAACAGCTCCGCTGAGTCCGATCAAGCCACCTCTGGCGGCAAACGTAGCCGAAGTGAAGGAAGAAGCAGTCCGGCTCAAACCCGGCCCACTTTTTTCTCCATTCGGGTTCTTCTTCGAAGACAAGGCGATGCCACGCAAAGGCGAGCATTTCCGACGGCTCCCAAAGTCGGACGCAATCTGTCAGCCAATCTGGCTGGAGCGAAAGTCGGCAAGCGGTACTAGCAGACGCGGCGGCAACAGTGAATAATGACAATCGATCCGCTCAACGGAAGCTCTTGGAGACAATGGACTCGGATCGATCGACCTCTAATGGGTCCCGCCACGCCAGCACACATTCTGCATGCCATCACGCTGCTGGTGTATACGCAAAGGGGCCAGAATAGTGTTGCCTCTCGTACAAAGGCAGCACTGGTTGACGGCAGGCGGTTGGAACTTCTCCGAGGAGATGGTCCCTTTATGATGTAGTTCTGAACACAGGACGGACGGAACCGTTAATAACATCAGGATAGAAAGGAGTATGCAGTTAAACACATAGGCAGCACACATGTGGCATAATCAGCATGTACGCAGCTGCTTAATACTATTTGCAGTTTTACGTTCCAAAACCCTCATTATGACAGACGCCGTGTTGGAGGGTTCCGGATATTTCGACAAAGTGGCGTTATCTTACGAGCATGCACAGCACAGGGGCCAGCTCGCCTCCGTCCAAGGTGCCGGGATAGAACCCTCGGGGGTCAGCAGCCGAGCTACACAACCACTGCTTCACTGCGGCGGACTTTGAACGTGCTGTTAGGGACCTCACAATTTCGATACGGTATACTCTCATGGCCCCACTGCTTACGTCGCAGTATTTCTTTGTCTCGGGCGTGACACGGGGCGACATACAGCGACCCCTACAACGGATGCAGTGATCAACGCAGCGCCCTGCGTCAACTTTTTCACTCGCAGGCACCCCTCGCTTCCTGCGCGGCCAGAAGGGAGCGCCGCCATTTCCACATCACGGTCCGTTGCGCCGAGCAAACGCTGCGAAAAAGCTAAGCGAGGAAACGGGGGAAAAAAAGAGACAGAAGGGGCGCCGAAGAAGGGAAGGCACGAGTTCCACTCGCTGTGCGCCCCGGGGCTGCAACAGCAAACTTCCGCGCGGCTGGACCCGGAAAACAAACAGCGACCAGGGACGCTGCCACGTCATCGACGTCTCCCGCGGCCGTCAAATCGCGAACGACGACAAGCAGCCGGGCACTCCTTTCCCCTGCACTCTTCGTACACACGGATCGAGGGGAAAAAGGTTCGGCCTAGTGCTGCCAAGTCTGAAGGAAGTACGGGGCCTGCTCTCTTTCTTTCCCGTTCTGTTTTCCCGTTCTTCTTTCAGAGTTTATTTTTCTCTTTATTTCAATTTTCTTCCGATTTATTCCCTTTCCTTCTCTCTCTTACTAATTCTTACTTGCTCTCTCTTTTTAATTTTTTATGCGCGATCTTGCCTCTGACGTGCTTTACTATCATCATCATTATCAAGGTGCTCGAAGAACAAGAGGAAAAATGTAGAAGTCCGAGCTCGTTGGTTGCACATAACGAGGGGGTTTCGGCAAGCTACTTGGGAAGACG